CCCACAGGAAGGGATGCTCTCGGTCTGGACACATGCAGGAGGTCCTAGGCCCAGCCCAGGATGATGTGGTGGACTTTGGGGAGCCCTGTCAAGGACCCTACCCTGCCTGGGGAGTGGAGAGTGGTTGGGGTAGGGGATGGGTGGGAGTTAGGGAGGAAGGCTAGGAAGAGGTGAGGGAGAGGGAAAAGAGATTGACATGTGAAGCAAGCTTGTTCCTAATTTGAACTAATAAAAAAAATATTTAAAAAGATTAGGTTTGTGGGCAAGATAAGAGGGATATGTTAACAATGCTTTAATTTTTCTGCTTCAAAAACAGTATTCTTATATGAATGCAATAACAATTGATGAAAAGGAGGCTGAGAATTTGAAGAATAGTGTGGAGGGGTGTATATAGAAGGGTTTGGAGGGAGAAAAGGGAAAGGAAAGCTGTCGTAAGTAAAATACAATCTCAAATTAAACAAAAAGGAGTATGTCTCTGTATACTACCACTTCTACAAACTTCCCTCTGTTTAAGATGTTTATAATTATATGGAATTACTACAGTTATTGTTTGCCTTGAATATAAGGATACTATTTAGAATTTTTTAATTATCTTGAATCAAAACCCTAATTATTTGGCTCCCATTTTTTTTTGTTTTAAATATCTTAAAATGATGGGTTACCTTTGAATTAGATAATAATGTTCAAAATTAAATCAGTTAAATTTTATTGTGAAGTTCTATATGATGATTAAAATATGATAGGTCACTGGTTATATAGCTTGGCTGTGGTAAATAAGGAAACACAGTAAGATATTGGTCAAAAAGAGGAACTTAAAATGAATTACAATTGACTTTTTGTTTTCTAGGGGTCCCTTCAGTGTTGTACGGCGATGTATCAACAGAGAAACTGGGCAGCAATTTGCTGTAAAAATTGTTGATGTAGCCAAGTTCACATCAAGTCCAGGGTTAAGTACAGAAGGTAAGAGATGGATTTCAAGTAAGTTATTTGATGTCTGGCTTTATTCCATCTCCCAAATCCATTTATCAACCTATCCTCATCTGGGGGTGGGGAATCGGGGTGTGATATAGTGGGGAAGTGGGTGGAGACAGTCTGAACTCCAGTTGAAACAGTTGCTCAGAAATCTAAAAGATAGCTTTTGAAATATGGAAGGGTTTTAGTCATCTGGGATCTTTATGAGCTTGTTTTTTTGTTTACTAGAAAGAGAATGAAATATGATCATATTTTTTAGGGTTTAATTTGAGTCATGTTGTGTGAGATATAGGATAGAAAAGGCAGTGATTGCAAAGATGATAATTGAAGATATAAAAGCATCCAAGGTTCTTCTAAATATAATTTACCACCTTTAGGATTACTATCTAGTATAACTAGAGGATTTATATTTGATTCACATTTGGCTTAATCACATAGAATTTGTGAAAGTTGAAAAGTCAGTAGTATTGGAATTTGTAGGGCTTAGAATTATGTTTTAAGATATTGTTATATATAAATGTGCATTTAAAGTTACTTATTTTTAAAAATAGATGCCATAAGTCACACTAAGGGTAACAAAGCTGATTATTATATTGACTTTTCTAATTAGCCTATCTACTAACTTTAGACTTCCACAGCCTTTTTTTTAGTCTTGCTTTTTAATCTTAAAGCAATGCAATTGAGAGATTAGATTAGAAAATTCAAGGTGAAGTATCCCATTTGTGTTTTATCCAATTAACTTGTTTTGGAAATTAGAATCTCACACACTGTGAGCTCCAACTTAATCTATTCCTATAGATTTTTATTCAGGTTGATTACTTTTAAATATTTTGTGACTCTTTTATAAAAAGAAAAAGTTTTTTTCTCTTTTGGGGGTGCCTGCCATCCAGCTCCCAAATTAATCACACATGGAGGCTTATTCTTAGGAATGTCGGGCCTTCGATTGGCTTGTTTCTAGGTAGCTTTTCTTATCTTAAATTATCCCGACTACCTTTTGCCTCTGGGTTTTTCCTGTTCTTTTACTTCCGTAAATCTAAACTCTTACTCCGTGGATTGCTGGGTAGCTAGCCCCAGAAGTCGCCCTCACCTTCCTCATTTTTTCTTTCTATTTATACTTTCTGCCTGCCAGCCCAGCCTATCCTTGCTCCTGCCTCAATATTGGCTTTTAAGCTCTTTATTAGGGCCACCAGGTGTTTTAGACAGGCACAGTAACACAGATTCAAAGAGTTAAACAAATGCAACATAAAACAAAAGTCACACACCTTAAAATAATATTCCCCAACACTCTTTAAGTTATTATTATCAATATAATGTTTTAGAAGATTCTTAAAAATTACTACTAAGAGGCTAGAGAAATGGCTCAGTGATTAAGAGCACAGGCTGCTCTTCCAGAGGACTTAGGTTTGATCCCAGCAACTGAGGGCTCACAAACCATCTGTAACTCTAGTTCTAGGGGATCCAATGCCTTTTTCTGTCTCCTGTCAACACCAGCCATTCGCTTAATACACAGATATGTAAACAGACAAAACCCCCATACAAATAAAATATAAATAAATAAATCTTTTAACAAACTGTTTTCTTTAAGTTACTACTAAGAAAGAATCCCTTACTGATTTGTTTTCAGGTTAAAGGGTATGCATCCAGTTAGATTAAATAAACATGACCATACTGCGGGAGGGAAAATCTTACAATAAAATTTAGATGTTTCATAGTTGATGATTTCATTGTCAGAACTGGCCATTAGCTACTTTTAAATATAGGTTATTTTATATGCTTAGCAAAGTGTAAAGTTTGCCTGTCAGTGGACTTTACAGTTAGTTTTTTCCTTTGAACTATTTTATGTTTGGTTGTGTTGTTTTCTTTGTAGTGCTGGGTCTCAAACCCAGGGCCTTAGGCACAATAGGCAAGTACTATTTCTCTTAACTTTCATTTGTCAGTAGTCTATTAAGGGAAACCTTTCTGAGTACTGAGATAATTTTGTCCAAACCTGATTATTAAACAAGTAGATGTTTTGAAATACTAAAAAAAGCTCTGATATTGTTTATAAACTTAGTAAGGTTCTAATTTAAAATTACAAATACTAAATCAATTATTAAATCACAGTAACATAAGTGAGATATTCTTATATAACATTACAAATAATTGAAAAATGAATACTCTAGCTTATTTCTTAGCCCCAAATTTTTAGTATCAAAGATTTGATTTTTCTTATCACTATACCTAATTGTGTGTCTTTCCAGGGTAACAATATTTTTAAAGGAGACAACTCATTTGTCTAGAGTGGATTATTAACAGATTTCTTTAGCCAGATCTCTGAAACTCTAAACCCAGAACATGAGTGAGAGTAAATCTCTATTACCACTTAGAGCAGAGCATGGCTATTTATATCTTTAATTCTAGAATTTAGGAGGTAGAGGCAGAGACAGATGGATCTCTATGAGTTCAAGGACATCCTGGTCTAAAGAGTTCCAGGCCAGCCAAGACTATATACTGAGACCCTTTCTCAAAAAAAAAAGCCCCCAAATCTCCACTTTGTCAGAGTGTCTAAATTATACACCAAATTTTAAAAAGGAAGGCAGTAGTATATACAGTTTATTTATATCCCTGGTTTGAATTCTGTCTCTACTTAATATGAGATATAGATATAGATATAGATATAGATATAGATATAGATATAGATATAGATATAGATATAGATATATGTTGTAGTTCACACTTTCATTGTTTTGGTGATTAAAAAAATGTCAAGTTCTGTCCTGAAAGCAAAACAAAGCAATTCAATTGATCCTTTATACTCTATATCTCTTTGAACCAATTGGAATCTTGTATTATTTTTATATCAATGTTATCTACCTACCTACTTTAAATGATACCCATTTGAAATCTTCATATTACCCATGGCTTTATCTGGTTTAGGTCAGAATTCAGTGGTATTCTAGTGAAACTACGCTATTGGCATATTCATGGTAAGATCCTTTAGTTTTTCCTGTCTTTATCAGCACAGTGACTTACTATAAGTTAACCAAGAAACAGAACCAAATTTCACATTTAGTTGTTACAATAAATTTTTCCACCATAAGCTGCCTGAGCCCCACCGCCATATGTGTGCTTTACGCCAGCCACCTGCCAGAGTTAGGCCC